CCCTGCTGTGCGGCAGCCTCCCTGCTGTGCGGCAGCCTCCCTGCCGTGTGGCAGCCTCCCTGCCTGAGGTGCTGGAGGCCATCTTGGGGCTGGTGGTGGAGTTCCCCAGGCTTATGGTTCTGGGGAACTTTAACCTACTGTCCCTGGGGCGGTCCTCGGATGCGGATTGGGAGTTCATGGCTACCAGGGCAGCCATAGGCCTGTCTCAAATTGTGCGGGACCCAACCCGAGACAGTGGCCAGATGCCAGATTTGGTTTTCAGATTTGGAGCAATGGCAAAGTGATCTGAGGGGAGATCTACAGCTTTCCCCGTTGTCATGGTCAGATCACGTCCTGGTGACCCTGAGTTTCTCCTATATCACCCCCCTCTGCAGGGAGGCAGGACCCATGTGATGGGTCCATCAGGCACTGGGGGTGGACCAATGATGGACCTGTCAGGGTTTCAAAGGGAGCTGGGGGATATTCCCATGGATCTGCTGCACGGTCCAGCAGAGGCCTTGGCTGCTGCCTGGAATAGGGAGGCAGCTGGGCCGTTGGACAGGATCGCACCTAGGCAAACTCTCTTGCCACATCAGCCCCAACAGTCCCCATGGTTTACGGAGGAGTTGAGGGTGCTGAAAAGGGTTAAAAGTCATCTAGAGCACTGGTGGAGGACAACAAAGACTGAATCCAACCGAACAGAGGTTAGAGCCGCTATCAAGGCCTACCTTGTGGCAATAAGAGCAGCGACACGCCATTACTTCTCTGCCCTTATTGCGTCCACAAAATGCGGCCTGGCGGCCCTGTTTAGAATCACTAGGTCCCTCCTTGGTAAGGGGGATGTGGGGGTTCATTTGCAGGGCAGTGCGGAGGAATTTTTGGAGCATCTACAGGACAAAGTCACTCAGATTCGTTCCAAGTTAGACTCCAAGTGTGGAGCAGGGTCTGAGAAGATACCGGGGGACCGTTCTTACCCAGTTATCTGGGAACAGTTTGATCCTGTTGCTGCTGAGGAAGTGGACAAGATCCTGGGGACTGTGAAGGCCACACTTGCAATCTTGACCTATGCCCCTCTTGGCTGGTGAAAGCAGCTCGGGAGGTGACATGTGGTTGGATCCAGGCGATGGTTGCTACATCCTTGCAGGAGGGAGTGTTTCCAGCTGCTTTTAAGGAGGCTTGGTGCACCCTCTCCTCAAGAAACCCTCCCTGGATCCTACTGTGCTGGACAATTTTCGTCTAGCCTCCCACCTCCCCTTTCTGGGGAAGGTGGTTAAGAAAGTGGTCGCATCACAGCTCCAAAGGGTTCTGGAGGAAACGGATTATCTGGATCCCTTCCAGTCAGGTTTAAGGCCCAGTTATGGAACGGAAATGGCATTGGTCGCACTTATGGATGACCTCTGAGGGGGGCAGGATGGTGGAAGTGCGACCATCCTTGCTCTCCTTGATCTCTCAGCAGTTTTCGATACCATCAACCACGGTATCCTGTCGGGATGGCTCAGGGAATTGGGGGTGCGTGGCACGGTCTTGTGCTGGTTCACCTCCTTTCTCCAGGGCCGATCCCAATCGGTGGTGATAGGAGCGAGAGGTCCCATCCTCGGCCTGTCCTTTGTGGGGTGCTGCAGGGTTCGGTTCTCTCTCCACTCCTTTTCAATATCTACATGAAACCACTGGGTGAGATCATCTGTTATCTTGGGATGAGGTATCATCAGTATGCTGATGATACTCAATTATATATCTCCACCCTGGTGAGGTAAGTGATGCTGTGACTTTCCCTCTCACGGTGCCTGGAGGCTGTAAGGGTCTGGATGGGAAACAACAGGCTTCAGCTGAACCCTGGAAAGATGGAGTGGCTGTGGGTTAATGGCTCCTCTGTATGCAGGACTTTGTCATCATTGGTGCTGGATGGGGTGGACTGTCCCAGACAGACCCAGTGCATAATCTGGGGGTCCTCCTAGACTCATGGCTCCTGCTTGAAGAGCAGGTGGCAGCCGTGGCAAGGAGGGCCTTTGCAAAACTTTTGGTTGTGCATCAGTTACGCCCTTTCCTGGATCGGGATGCCCTTCGAACAGTCACGGCCTTGTTATCTCCCAGATAGACTACTGCAATGCGCTCTACATGGGGCTACCCTTGAAGAGTATCCAGAAGCTACAGCTGCTCAAGAATGCGGCCGCGCGGGCTATTGTTGGTTCCCCAATGTCAGGGCTAGCCCAAGGAACTCGAAAAGACCGTGCAAATT